TTCAAGGAATTTCAAATTGAATTATAATTTTTATTTCATTTCTTTATATCACAATATGAGCCAATGCTATAGTGTACAGTAAATTGGGGAAATATTTCTTTGACCACTTGAAAATTTTTGAATTTCTGTCTTGGATACTGCAACTATTTTTTTTTATACAGAAATCAAAATTTATGGCATTTATGCCTTTAAAAATATTCAGATATTTCCTTTCAGAATTTCATAAATTTTGACTGTGCACTGATTGCCCAAAAATGAATTGCAATATGAAGCAAAATTAATAAAACATTCTCAAAAACACTAAATTTACTTGGGGGAATGAGTTCCATTTGTGGTATGTTTCTGATTGAGAAAATATCCTGATCAGTATGTTGATAGCATGAACTTTGACTCTCGCATTAATAGTATGATTATGAATATAATTTATAATCTGTGTTAATGCTCAATTATGACATGCATTGACCAAGCTGACATCCCCCTTTCATATTTTGACACCTCCCATGCCACATTGTACTTCATGCAATATTTGCTCACATTTCGTCCTTCAGTCGGATTTACATTAATTAACACCAGACTGTTCATTCGCTTATCCGTGCTCGCATCCTCTTCAAGCATCATTATTGTCAACTTTTAGTAGAAAAGATTGTCATGATAGACAATGAATTCTGCTATTTGGTTCACCAAAATTATTTTTTCTTCAGACTAATGGTGACCTTGCTGCAGCAAAGATTCAGATTCAACGACTAGAAAGTCAACTCAAACAGGTACGTGTAAGCAAACAAGGTAGAAGATTTACCTTATCCCGGTCAGAATCATGAACCTTTCTCATATTTCTGAGAAAGTTGTTCATAAATCGCATGGCAATGTTCACTGGTTTATTGTGTAAAATCAGGAAGCTATTGTTTCATGGCACCATGAAATAACATTCTTTTGTTTGTTACAGTGCCATCTTTTGAGAAATTACTCCTAATCACAGTCCCTCTATCACTGTGTCCTAATATTTTCAGCTTATGTCACCATCCTACAATTTGAGATATGGCATAATATCCCTGCTACTAACCTATGTTAAAAGCACTATAATACTGCTAAAATGGCCGCTATCCACTAAAATACAACCACCATTTTCTCAAAAATTAAACTGGTGACCCTCAACTTTTTTTTATTAAAAAAGTCAATATCCTTATATTACCTGGAAGTACAATTTATTGGAAAATGAATAAATTCTGGGTATTAGCTTTCATAAGTAGGCTTCAACCTTAATGTTCCAATCATTCTACCTGCCCCTTAGCTCATGGCATTTAAAATTTTGTTTCCATTTGTTTTTTGCATGTGGCAAAGAAACTCATTGTACACAGGTTTGCAGTACGTGTAAAAAAACCAAACCACAATGCATTGTAGTATTATTTGTTTAATCCTGTACTTTGTTGTCTAGATTAATTCACAGGCTGAGCGGAAAGAAAAAGACTTCAGCATGGCTATTGATGCAAGGGATGAAGCCGTGAAAGAAGGACAGCGTTTATTGGGACACATCGAGGCTGTTGAAGAAAGAGAAAGACAAAAAGTAAGTATGTTTTATAATTATGCATAATAGGTGATTTTCCGTACAATTGCGAGATCTTGCGAGATGTATGAAAGACGCGCGTCGAACGTCTGCCGCAAAAGTCGAACGATTTGATTTTGAACTAGAATTTCTTTATTTCGTAACTCATATCGACCGGCCGATCTTCGACAGAGGAATATTGTTTCCGAATACCCTTACTTAATCGAAATTGCCTATCATGAAATGTGAACAGCACATTATTATGCATGGAAATGTCCTCCAAAATACTTCGCGTTTGTCGAATCCCACGCGATGTTTGACGCCACTACGACGCTATGACCTTTGTTTGTCCTGTTTTTACGTTCGATTTCACGCATAACGCGTGATTCTCGCAGTGAATGGAAAATGGTCTATTAGAATCGCTCACATACGTAAATGGTTCAGAGTTCGCTTTGTGTACGCTACTGTAGATGTGCTTCTATTATAGTGTACAGTGAACTGTCGCTATGCATATAATTAATTCTGTCATAACTCGTAAACATGCATGCAAACTAAGAGATTATAGTGTGTTGTGTTGTAGATGTCACCATGTTAAAATACCACTACTGTAAAATCTGTATTAGAAGCCACGACTTCTATTGAAATGGTACAATGCAAAAGTGGGGATGCAGCTTCTATTAGAGCATCTACACATATAAGAAATGATGAATTTTTGATTCCAAATTGGTGAAAAAGAATGGGTCCGACTTCTATTAGGGATGTGGCTTCTAATACAGGTTTTATGGCACTAACATGGCAACAAAAAAAGACAGCAGATTTGTATCATTTTTACACCCAAAATAAGCTTGCACTCTCTACTCACTTTGGATATGAAAATCATACACAATATTTGGAACAACTGAATCATAATGTTAGATAAGAGAGAAAATACAGTAAATGGTTATACAAACATTGATGCAAAACGCTTATTACGCTTTTCTAAAGAAAATGACAAAACAAAATTATTATTTTTTTTCCATAAATTCAGATTAGTAATCTACAGCGAAGTCTGTCAGATGCTAAAGAGGACAATAATAAAATAGCTCGTACACTGGAAAGTATTATGTCATCGCATGCACAGCTACAAACAACGGTCGAAAACTTACAAACAGAGCTTGGCAGAAAAGACAGTGAAATTGTGGCTCTTAAGTCAGACAGGTATGCAAGACTGACTTTTATCTGCTCTCCTGATTTTAGGAATAATCACCATTAATATACATCTGTCACTTTTTTGTCATAAGTTAGTGTTTAGAACCCAGTGAATAATTAATACTTATTCACAGATTCGCTGATTCACAATATATATTCAGAATGTTATATTCAAGATCTGTTAAGTTTACTCCAAAGCAATTACAGACACCATCTTGTAAGGCAACGATTAATAAAAGCAATGAAAGTTTCATAGAAATACAAAATTTGTTATTCTAAGCCATTAATCACATTCAAAGACATTTACTGAATGTCACATGGAACACATCAGTTACATTTGTTTGTTAATTTAGGCGTAGTGGTCAACATTCCGTACAGGATCTACAGAAGGAGGTGGAGACCCTACAAAGTAAATTACTAAATATGGAATCTATGGAAAACAGTGAGGTAAGCGTAAGTCAGTATTTAAGTATGCTATAAATAAGAATATTTGCTAAACCCTATTAACCTTCCAGTCTCTTTACTTAAAGGTTGTTATTGTTACCATACATTATATTTTCATTATTTAGGTTGAACCGCTGAGACGGGCTGTAAACGCCGCAAAGAAGGACAATTTAAAGATGGCGTCCTCGTTAGAAGAACTTCTACAGTCAAATAGCAGACTGCAATTGAGCGTGGAAAAACTACAAAATGAACTTCAGCAAAAAGATTACCATCTGAGAATGCTAAAAGATCAACGGTAAGATCTTTGTAATATAATTCTTACCTGAGATAGCTCCGCTGTTAGCAATGCACATTTCAATTAAAGAACAGAAGATATCATTAGAAAGTGAACAATATGTATAGTACATTGTATCAAAGCAACGGACCTTGCTGTTTTCAACAAGAATTCAAAAATATCACTTTTCACCAAAATGACAAAAATAATCATCAAAATTAAGTAATTGAAGATATCACCACGAAATTAACAAGATCCACATGTAATACCTATGTATGTAATATCAAAGCAATCAGACTTGCGGTTTTCAACAAGAAGTTGAAAATATCACTTTTTACCAAAAATGGCAAAAATATTCACCAAAATTAGAAAATTGTACATATACACCAAGTATCAAAGCATTCAGGCTTGTAGTTTTCAAGAAGAAGTCGAAAAAATAAAACATTGACACGGACGACGACAGACAATGACTCGTATGATGAGCTCCGCTCGACAAAGTCGACAGCGGAGCTAAAAAACTTGTCCATGACATCACTTGTATCAACTAGCTCTACGAACAAGTGATATCGATGATTAACTACACAGTATCTTTCACCGTCTACTTAATGTAGTAATAATCGTAACTGTGAAACGCAACATGACCGAATTTTGCTACCGTGATCATTTGCTACTAAGCAATGCATTTGTGTTTGTTTTATTTTTCCTTTGATCATAAAGTTAGTTGTGAATGTTTTCTAAAGGATGATACTTTCTAGACTGTCTGGAAACATGTCATAAATACTTAGTATTTAAAATAAAGGTTACAGTGACTAAGTGTCAGACTGTAATGTAAAATATTACCAAATAAGTTGATACAATGTATCACCAGAATGGAGCAAGAACAATGGCTTGAAATAAATGCCATTTGAAGCAAAGTTGCCCAAATTTAACCACAAATAAGCACCACCGTGAAATGAAAATGCAACAAAGTAGTGTCTAATTGAAAACAAATACAGTATACACTTTTAATAATTACACTGGTGTTTCTCTATAATAATCCAGGGAGCAGGACCGAGCGCAGGTAGAACAGCAGATAAACAGTTATGAAGAGAGGCTGTCCAACATAAAGGAACAAACCAAGACACAGAGGGAGTCGTCAATGAAGAGAGTGCAGAGGGAGTTGAACGAGGTAAGACAGTCCATTATGAAAGTAAAGTAAAGTTTTCACGTATTAATGACGCATTGCTGTCATGCGAGATGAAAACAAAAACACATAATACCCATGATACATTGCTCTCATGTGAGAGTTTAAAAAAAAATATAACCCATTAGGCATTGATGGCATGTGAGTGTTGAAAAACACACACCAACATTACCCATAATGCATTGCTGTCATGTGAGTTGAAAAAAATATATAACCCATAAGGCATTGATGGCGTATGAGTGCTAAAAAATAACACCAACATTACCCATGATGCATTGGTGTCATGTGGGATTTGAAATTCAGTCATAAATACTGATGTTTGTTATGTATTTTGGCCAACTCCCAATGTTACCACAGATCTACGCATGGAGTAAACTGTTAATGACATTCAATGAGTATTTATTTGGTTTTTATGTCAGTAAATTTATTCATATTTCTAATTTCTGATTTGCTGAGCACAGTTAAAGAAGACGTATGATGAGACAGTGAGTAAAGTATCTGACCTGAGCCGAACTAATACCGAACTGAGGCATCGCGTTACCGAACTGGAACATCAAAATAATCGACAGAAAGAAAGGATACGCAGTCTGAAAGCACAGTTGGAACATTACCAAAAGAATAAGAAAAATAACGACGAAATGAGCGACAAATTGAAGGTAAAAAATATTATGGATATGAAAAAGCAAATTTTTAAAAAAATTTTGCATGTATAATTTTTTTTGTAGCATGAACACATACTGAAGACAAATTAAAAAGTGCTATCTGAAAAAGTCTTCAAAAGGTTCAACAGTTTACTGGAAAAGAATTAATTATTCACTGGGTTTTAATTTTCCTTATTTTGCTGACTGCAAAATGCGCTAAATTAGTACCCAGTGAATATGTAAAATTTAGCATAGAACACATTATCTAAATGATAACACTGTGAATTTAAAACCCACTGAATATGCCTGAAATGTTAAATCAGCAAAATTTAAACCCAGTGAAAATTAGTCATTTTTACAGTATACTGTCGAACTCTGGTTCTTACTTACACATAAAACTCTGTCACATCTGTTTTTTTAAATCTGAACTTTGAAACATGTCATTTTGTTATGTTTTTGTGTAAGTTCACTATTTTACCAAATCACATACTTTGTATCTTACTTATAAACAATTAACTGTAGGGGAGAAATTTTGTATTTTTTGGTTGAAATTTGTTTTTATTTCTTCAAAATTGGCCAAATATCATTTGCAATGACAAAAAAATTATTTAATTTTTTGAGGGCAATAAACAAAAATGGCAAATTCATTGGTAGTTTGTTCTCATTGTCATAGTTCAATTTCAACTATTACTATATAGACTACGTCAATATTTACGTCTACAAAATAAGATTATTATGATCATAATACTAAATTTACGTTATGTCACAGTCTATTAGCAGTGAACTTGCAGGGCTAGAGAAGGTGAAGAATGAGTATATGTTGAAAAATACACAACAATCCAAGACTATCAGTACATTTGTATCCCAGATATCAAGTCTACAAGGCGAACTGAAAACGTTATCCCAGTCACAATTTGATTTATCAGAGAGATGCAGGTATGGACTTTCAATATTATTTGTGTATCACACATTTCTGTCGCAATTAAACCTTCAAAATTTGTCGCAAGATAAACATGCAAAAATTTTCTGAAATTTGGTCAGAAAATAAATGTGGTATTCGAAGGGGAGTGATAGAAAGTGCATGGTTAAATATTACTTTGTATATGTACGTAAATCCGATTATACGATTAGAAGCATGAAATTTACCAAATTAGGATGTGCGGATAAGAATTTTATGTTATTTTCAAATAACAGATTGAAAAAAAAATGTCAGTGGTATTTGATTCAAACAGGTCAATTGAAGTATCGCAATCTTGTCGGGGAAACTAAGGCAACAAATAGTGGGAGGAAGAAATGTAATGAACATTAAAAATGAACAATATTAGATATATGTTACTTGTATGTATTCGAAAGCATGTATTTAATAATTGCTAAACGTTAATCATATTGTTGATGAAGTATTACATGTAAAACATCACATGGTGATGTTGTTATATACATTCATATTGGTTATTGATGGAGGCACTCAACAGGGAGATGTTCAAAATACTATAAAAAAAAAAAAACTGCTTATAATAATTTTTTCCTGAGACAAGAAACAAAATTGGTTGGCCCTAACATGAATACAAATACCTTTAGATAAATAACAAAAACTACTTACAGTATATCTATCACACCTATATATAGCATATGCTAGTACAGTGCATTCCAAGCGTAACTTACCTTCCAAGCTGGCTTTTTGCATATTCATAATTTGTTTTTAATCTTAATCACCACCACCAGACTTTCTGCACTTTTTTCTTATATTGTTTGATATTTCTGGAAATGAACCCTAATTTTGGAGCCAACAGACAAAATTTGAGTTAGTTTTCACTCAAACGAAAAATTAAAGGAAAGTGCAGACTATAATCGAGACTATTTTGTGCGTTAGTGCGGAAAAGAGGGAACTGGTGGTGAAAAGGTTAAAGTGAGTGTCATTGTAATCAATAGTTTCAACTTATTATTTGAAATGTTTACCTGTTACTAATTTGAGATGTATTTAGAAAGATTACTCTACATACCAGTAATTAGGATATGTAGTAATTTTGAAAGCACGATAAGCTAGTTTTAAACCAACTTGGTTCAGTGTTCAGTTGCACTCAGACCATACTGTATTCACATATTAATATTTTCAACTTTAGAAAACAAGAAAAAATCACGGAGAAGGAAAGGGCAAAGAAAGAAGAAATTTATAAAAAATATACAGCTCTTAAAAAAAAGGCGGAGGCTTTAGAAGAAGTTAAAACTCAGACGCAAGATAAATTGTTGGAAGCAAACAATGAATCAATTCAGGTAATGTGTACATCATGGAGAGGCTCTGTTTGTTTTATTGTTTTCTTAGAGTTGTCTTGACAGTAAAATTTAGTTGATTTGCAGTAACCTAGGCAAAAGTTATATTTTACTAAGTTATACTGATAGAAAGCTGATGTATTGTGTCATTTATCGATAATTTATTACAATAAAGCCCATCATGCATTGCTGTTTGAGTTGTATTGTAATGTTTTTTTCAGACTCAGTGATAACATGCATAAAATACTTGTCCTATATGAAGAAACCAAATAGCCAAAAGTGCCTGTATAAAAACTTTATCAAAATAAAACTTAGCAGTTCTGAGTCTTTAACCACAGACTTACAATTTTTTTTTTATTATTACTTATGGTTATTTTTTAATTTACTAGTAATTTTCACTCAAAATTTATGGAAATTTTGAATGTCAAAATGAAATTTTGTACCTTTTTAAAAAGTGGAGTGCCTGTCTGCTTGAAAATATGTTTTTTATGTCTGGATAATCATAATTTAAATGCATCACATTCATTATTGGATTAATATCAAACAGTTCATCTTCAGTCATCAGAGAATCCTATGTGCGAGTTAGTCACTTGATGTCACCCAAGACTTCAAACAAAAGTGGGGTAACTAATTTTCCAAGATCAATCCTAAAGCCTCATTAGAGTCTTGGAACTCTTACGTAAAATATTTAGGGATATTTTTATGTCTTTTCCAAATTTGGTACCCTTAAAGGCCCAATTCATTTGCCCCGGGCAAGTGTGAATTGGAGGTGTGGCTATGTTAATAAGTGTTGTTAATCACTTGCATAGCCTATGACGCATCCTGTTTCAGCGGTCCAACATCACGTTACTGCAGCATACTGACAGCAGTTAATTATTCAAGATTAGTAGCGCGTCCCTTTCCCCGGTTCCTGTTTTTGACTTTTATCCGCCAAAATCTCAACCCGTACACTATTTATTGTCATAAATACTACACACAGTCACTGCTGTGATATTCATAGTCACAATGCATCCACTTTGGCACGACATAATAGACCTGTAAGTTCGAGAAAACGCGTTTTTACCGGAGCTTGGCTTGAACTGTTTACTACAGCGTGACAAGCAAGGAAATAATCCCTATTGTTTAGGAGCGTATTTATAGTATACCTGGGCCTTTAACAGTGCAGTCCCACTTGTAGGCGGTACCATCCCCTCATCAATATACACTACACAATATACAATTAAATGTTAACCCAACACAAGGCAAATTTTCATTTGCTGTTTATATATACAACTTCCCATTGCTTGTGACTTGCAACTCCAAATATGAATTTAAGCAAGCTTCTTAAATTAAGCTCAATTTGTTAGCAAACACTCACTGAGTTAGGGGGCTTTGTTTTACCTTGGTAGTTGGTGACGTTGTAGGATTGTCTGTCAGGTAAAACGAAAATTGGGTAGTTTTATCTAAAACGGCATCATTTGAACATATTTTATATGTTTTTAGCTTTCTCTGAAAGTGATATGGGAAATCAATTATAATAATGTTAACACTTTTTGTTGCAACCACAGATTTCTCAAAATCTAGAAGATGCGCATGAATGGTTTAAAAACAAATTTGAAAACCTGCAAACTGAGTTGAAAAGATCCAAAAAGAGCCAAGCAGCTTTGGAGAGGGCTACCATGGAAACACAGGAACAGCTAATGCAGGAAAAGCTGAGAGTGCAAGACACTGCGCAGAAAGCAAGAGAGTTGTTAAGAGTAAGTTTACTTTTATCAACAAAATTTCAGTTCAGCCACTCAACATGCTTCTCTGACGAATTTGTATCGTTAGTAATTTTTAGTCTGCTGCAACCATTCTTGATATGACCAAATGTCTCAGTATGAACCCTGCTTAGGCCAAAGAAAATAAATATATGTGTGGTTTCGATTGCCCAACCCTACCTAAAATTGAATTCCTAATCTAAGCAAATCTTGGATGAAAATGAATTTATTATCCACCTTATTGGAAAGTCTTTGCTGTAAACATCATTAAACATGTGTATGATAAACTTTTTTTTACGAGAGAAACATACTAGGAACTTATCTTCCCTATGGTCTTCAAGAAAAAAATACTAATATATACTGGTGTAAATACTATACAAGTTAAAATGTATATGACAATAATATGCACTATACATCTAAAGACTATGAAAATATATACACATAGAGTAAAAAGTTTGAAGCTATACTTTAAAATATCTCGATTTAAAAATTGATATTGTGTCTGACTGTTCAATACTTTGTCCCTGATATGGGCACCACCAATTGTGAAACTTTTTTATATATACAATTTTGTGTGCTATGGTGTCGGTCTTAATTATGAGCCTATTTTACTTTATGTAAGCATTTACTTCAAATGTGAAGGTGATTTATCGTTTAATGATTTATAAATTAAAGTTGCAATTTGCAATCTAACTAAGCATGTGAGTGGTATCACATTTAAATATTGCAGTACCCTAGTTGTGGAATCCTCTGTATCTCCTCTGGAACAGGTCGCCTCCCTGTACCTGGAGCAGGTCGCCTCCCTGTACCTGGAGCAGGTCGCCTCCCTGTGCCTGGAGCAGGTCAGCTCCCTGTATCTGGAGCAGGTCACATCCCTGTGTCTGGAGCAGGTCACGTCCCTGTGTCTGAAGCAGGTCACGTCCCTGTGTCTGAAGCAGGTCACGTCCCTGTGTCTGAAGCAGGTCACATCCCTGTGTCTGAAGCAGGTCACGTCCCTGTGTCTGAAGCAGGTCACGTCCCTGTGTCTGAAGCAGGTCACGTCCCTGTGTCTGAAGCAGGTCACGTCCCTGTGTCTGAAGCAGGTCACGTCCCTGTGTCTGAAGCAGGTCACGTTCCTGTGTCTGAAGCAGGTCACGTCCCTGTGTCTGAAGCAGGTCACGTCCCTGTGTCTGAAGCAGGTCACGTCCCTGTGTCTGAAGCAGGTCACGTCCCTGTGTCTGAAGCAGGTCACGTCCCTGTGTCTGAAGCAGGTCACGTCCCTGTGTCTGAAGCAGATCACGTCCCTGTGTCTGAAGCAGGTCACGTCCCTGCGTCTTGAGCAGGCCACATTAATTGTACATAGGTTTACACAAATTGCAAGGACCTTATCTGCAACCTTTTGTAACCCAAATGGTTTGTTTTCAAATTGTAGCAAGTAGAACCCCATCTAAAAACTTCGGTACATAGAATCGTCCACATGGAAGACAAGTCAGAATATCATCATATTGCAAATCAGCTACAGCAGAAA